CACAATGCCGGCATGTAGCAACTTCTCAATAAATATTGATTGGATAAATGAATAATGTAATTAACTAGGCAATTAATTATTATAACAGATAATAAATGTAGATAATCATGATGTGGATAATTATGATTATATTACTTTACAGATGCATGAATGAGACTCAGAAATATTAAGTGACTTGGCGCAGGTCACATCAAATCATTTAGTCATTCAAATAACTTTTACTCAGCATTTGCTCTGTGTTAGACAGAGAGCCAAGAGCTGAGGTTATAAAGAAAACTGAGCATCTCTGTCCACTGAGGGAGCAGGACATGTAAATATGCATCCTATGAAACTGATAAAGAAATAGGAACACAGGGCTTTGAGAGGACAGAGCAACTAATTAAGCCTGGAGGGGTGGCAGTGATCTCATAACAAAAATGACTTCTGAACCTATTCAGAAAGTGAGCAGGAGGTTTGCACCTCTGTGAAGAGGGAAGAGAGAAATGGAGTCTTAAAAGATTGTGGCACATTCAGGAAATAGTGTGACATTCAGGTGGGAGGTGAAAGAGTTGAGGACGGTGGAGGAGATTATTAAAATTCTTACAAAGCAGGTGAGGGGGGCTGGAATTATGCTGTAGACAGTGAGACGCCTACAGGGGCTCTTAAGTAGGGAAGTGAGACATTCACCTTCATATGAAAATAACAGACATGGAAACAAGAAACAAGGTGAGAAGTTAGGAGCCTGTTACAATTCAGGTGCAGGACCTGATGGTGCGAGGTGAGGATGGGAAGGAAGGAGATGGGGATGAGGAGGTCTGCAGTCTAGTGCACTCAGTGTGCGGTGTTGCAAATGAACAGAAACCGAGAGTACAGGAGCTTGAAGGATTTCTGTGTAGAAGATAAGCCCTGCTTGGTAAGGCTGAGATGGAACTGGCCACCTAATGAATATGCCCTGGAGCAAGGCTGCAGTGCAGCCATTTCTCAAATCAAATGGCTCCAAAAATGTGTGTTTAAATACTACCATCAATAAAAAGATTTTAAGAACAATTCCTCAATATTTATTTCTTTACTTAAAAGATCATGTACTATCATACCAACATAAGCATTTTTTTTAAATGCACAAAAATAGTAATACAAAAGGATGGGATAAAAAGCAAGCATTTTTACTTCTTAAAGATAGCAGGCTGAAGATATTAAAAGATATTAGAAGTTGCTAAATTTTAAATGGTCTATATCATAAACCATGGGTCTACACAGTTTTCCCAAAAGAGAGAATTTTCACTCACTAATAAAATAACCACAAACAAATTCTGGCTAAAGAAGCCATTAGAAGTTACAGTATAAGCCCCAACTATAATTACTTATGTGTACAGCCCTGGCCTACAGGTAAGCGCATCTCTGACTGTGGCATTCTAAGGAAGCCTGTGGGAGAACAAGGGTCACCTGAAGCCCGGCTCTAACCTTGGCCTTGCCGAGGGCGGTGGTTTTCTCCCGCAGCTCCGCGTACTGCCTTTCAGACTCATGCAGGGCGGCTTCCACGCCGTCCATCCAGCTGGAAAACTGCCGAACGTCGTCCTGATAACTTGTCCACTTAGAAAGAGCTCCTTCAAGTTGACTGAAAGGGATTTGAAAGAAAAGTAACCTGTATTGAGAATCTTCTGAGTCTGGTGTCCACTCCAGCCATCAGGGGGTCCAGAGATCAGGAAAGGGTCAGGCTTGGGAGCACGCAGGCTGGCCAGGGCTGATCCGATCCGAGTCGAGGTCTCTGGCAAGGACAGCCTCAGGAAGCAGGGGACAGCTAAATCCAGGCCGACAGGCAGAAAAGTGGGACTGGACATAAACCCGAGAGTCAGTGACCAGGGGACACAGACACAGGGAGGAGCTTGAAGGTAAAACCAGGAGAGATCCCCTGAGATGGGTCTTTTCTGGAGCCAAAACTCTGGGCAGGGAGAGAACCACCACTGAACTCTTATCAAGTTGAGCAGGACAATCGGAGCAGGAGAGAAAGAAGGGAATTACTAAAGGAAGGAAAGAAGACCCGAGGAAAAATAAGCACAGTAACCATCTCACCTGAGACTTAAAAATCAGAAAATCACAGTGAAAAACAGGCAACATTTCCTGACTGGTCTAATTATTAAAACTTAATTATTTCTCTTACAGACAAAGTAAGCACTTCCTTGTCTTATTAGGCATGTTATATTTTTAATTCCATCAATCGTTTGTGTCAAATTTTCCACCATGTTTTGGGGCCTTTTGCAGCGGACATTGTCAGTGAGCCCCCCCGTATGTACTGCCAGACCATAGCAGTGCAGATGCCGCCACTGCACTCTGAAACCTCTTAGCCCGAGGACATTCTCTGGTCCCTGATGTCCTCTCAGCTCAAGGACAATGTAGACAAGCAGTGAGGGGGGTGGAGGGGGTTGTTGCCCCCTGGGGTGACCATCAACTGCCCTCCTGACTCATGGGAGTTTGTTCACGAATACCCCAGCTTCCCTGCCCTTGGGGATAACTCTGAGGCACCTGCTCTGCATCAGCTCCCAGCAATGCTGAGCCGGATTAAGCCCCAGCTGCCCATACATAATAACTCGTTTGATAATATACCCTTTATCGGCTGCCCCACCCCTTCCCCATCTCTCTTTCACACTGGGGTTATCTCCCAAGTAAATGACTTGGATGTCATCAATACATCACTACATTATGAAACATTTATTTATCTTTTGATCTTCAAGCAGTGAACAACAGCAAAATGAAACATGCATTTTTAGTTATTTTAAAATGTAGGCATAGTATTTGCAGATCAACCTAAATGCAAGATTATACCTGCCAGTTTCTTCTGTTCTAATAAGAAAAATGAAAGAAGCAAAGACAGGAAGAGAAACAGAAAGAAAGAAAGAGAAAAAGAAAGAAAGAATAAATGAAAGAAAGAAAGAAAAGAAGTTCCCAAGAATGGTCTGTCACTGAAGCACCACAGTGACCTTTAGTACTGGTTTGCCAGGGCTCAGCTGCAGGTTCACTCACCTTTTACATCGAATCCCTGCAGACAGCAGGGCTGCCCACATATCCTTCACACTCTGCAGTTGCTGCTGAATAGCAGGAATGCCTTCGGGAGAGGTATTCTGAAGGACAGATTCTCCCCTGGTCACTACCATTTTCATCTGAATCTCTTTTTCCTGTTTCACTGATAATAGAGCCTATAAAAACAAATACAGAGGTCCTTTGTCATTTGCATGTTTAACATCTCTGGCTTCAAATATTGCAGAGCTCCTGAAGATAGTAGCATGATATGCAATCCTGTTGGGCCATGGAGCTCCTAGGCTACTCGGGTGGAGGGTGGGGAAGCCTTTTGCTGGTGATGCCAGTAACCAGTCACCAGTCACCTTTTGGTGTCTAGAAGACTTGGCTTTGCAAGTTGGGGTCTTCTCTGACTAATCTCTTCCTTACACTGATGTTTTATTTTACTGGTTTTAACAATGGAAAAATATACTACAGTAGAATTCACGAATTCTCAAAAGTTATAGGATAAACAGCTTATAAATGTTAAGATCTCTAACACAACGACCCTATAGAAATAAATTATGCATTTCAAGTTCATAAGCACTACTTTTTTTCTATATAAGATGTAAGTTTTGTTGCAAAGTTATAAAGCTGGTAATATCACCTAAAGGGCAAAGCTTCATCTCTCTTCTCATCTGGATCTTGCCAACCTCTACAGCCCCAGCTTCAACCACCCATTGCCACCTGTTTCTGTTGCAGCAGTAAGGAACCGCCGTGCTGTTTCTTTCCTCCAGGTTTTGCTCACATTTTTCCCCTCCGTGGTACCATTCTCAAAACTCTACCCAGTCATCTTTGCCAGGATAACGCTCTCCATTATTCTTAAAAACTCAGTTTAGGTACTAGACTTCCTAAGAAACCTGCTCCAATTTTGAACCCTATCGCCCCTGCACGGCTCCACTCCTGGGTGTCTATCCATATCTGCTATCGTCTTCTGTATTTTAACCTCCAGCCTTATACAATGAAAGCCTTGAAGACAAAGACCATATTTTATTGGCCATTGATTCTTTGGTGTCAAGACAGAGTGCCAGACTCCTAGAACACACCCAGTATATGAATGAATGGAGGTTAATTATTTTCATCACAAATGTAAAATAAAACTAATACCTTGGGATGGGAGAAAATTGCCTAAATAATACAGGCAGGCAAGTGAATTGAATAAGATGAAAAATGTTCTTCCCTATAAAATGCTCATCAGAATATTTTCTCAAAGGGCCGGCCCCGTGGCGCACTTGGGAGAGTGCAGCGCTCGGGAACGCAGTGGCGCTCCCGCCACGGGTTCGGATCCTATATAGGGATGACCTGTGCGCTCACTGGCTGAGTGCGGTGCAGTCGACACCAAGCCAAGGGTTGCGATCCCCTTACCGGTCACAAAAAAAAAGACAAAAAAAAAAAAAAAAAGAATATTTTCTCAAAGGGCCGGCCCCGAGGCGCACTTGGGAGAGAGCAGCGCTCGGGAACGCAGCGGCGCTCCCGCCACGGGTTCGGATCCTATATAGGGATGACCTGTGCGCTCACTGGCTGAGTGCAGTGCAGTCGACACCAAGCCAAGGGTTGCGATCCCCTTACCGGTCACAAAAAAAAAGACAAAAAAAAAAAAAAAAAGAATATTTTCTCAAAGTAAATATGTCTGTAATATAATTTGAAAATAGCCTCTTAAATGGCTATCAAGCAAGTAATCACATTTGGGGTTTGTTCTCTTTTATTTTTGTAAATCATCTATGGTTGAGTGCAGCTGGGGTCAAATCGTTCAGCAATGCTTAGACAAGGAGGCTCACACCCACAAAGCGTTCTAAAGTTTCTTGTAGAGAGACGGAGACATAATCATGCCAGGCAGATGGAGACTTGAGAAATTTCTAGAAAAAGAAATTCTGTAAGTTAGAAATATTTCTCTCGAAAATTGCGTACCTCAAGCTTGAGCATCCTGCTGTCCAGCACACTTTTGTCCGATGTCGGGTGGCAGTAAGAATCCAGAGTGTGAATGGCATCTGTCATCCAGTCTTGCAATTCTTTAATCCCGAGAGAGAACTGATTGTGTTCTGCAGCAATTCTATCCATTCTTGACACTTTCTCCTGGAAATGACAAAAATGGTTTTCTGGCTGTCCACTTCACAGAGCCTTCACAGCCTAGAGCTACTCACATTATAAAGCTAACAGTTTGTTTGAAACAACCACAGTCAGTCATAGCTGTATATGCTTCACAGGTATGATGTAAGTCTGTATTAAGTTGATGAGATGTGAAATGTCTTCCTAAATAGTAAACATATTAGAATAACTGAATCGAAAAGCAGAAAAAATTATTTTAATGTCCCTCAACTTCTTTATGACAATCACGATTTGTTTTTTTTAATCAGTAAAATTTCTTCCTAATGCCTTGTCTGGCAGACTAATAAAAGCAGTTTCCAGCTTTTGCATATCACATTAGGCTAAAATGATACTACATACCCATATGTCCTATATGGTAGCCAGAGTTCTAAAAAATTATAATCTGAGATTTTGTAATATCCCTAAATTTTTAAAGTTGTGACCATTCATGTGATTTTACTTATTAACTACAGGTCATATTCAACACAGTGAAGACATTATAAGAACAGTCTATAGCTCTTAGAACATTCAAATATCTATTACTTGTTGGTATCTACCTAAATACAATGAAATAGAAAGATGTCCTTAATTCATTCTAACTTTAGATATGTGCCAGGTGCTCTAAACACAGAAAAAAGCAACATTCATAAACTAAAGATGGGTAAACATGTGTTTAAACATCGACTATTTACTCCAAGACCTATACTAATGTGACTAGCTCAATGATGTTTTGTTGAAGATTCAAATTAGCAGACCAGAAGCAAATCCACACTAAAATAGGTGAGCATAATTTAAAGAAAAATCGTGGTAGATTCCCTACATTCTAAACATGTGAAATTAACAATATGGGGAATAAATGTTACAAGCCACATGAAGCTCAAGATAGGCTTGCACCATAAAGTTCAAGATGGGTCTGCATTAAACCAGCTGAATGCTCTAAATGAGGTCATTATGGGATTCCATTTACTTTTTTCTAAGCTATTGAAAAGAGAGATAATCAGTTATATGTGGCATTGCCAATTTTGAGCTCTGCTCTGGAATCTGAACTGAAACTACCAATAAACACATCCTCCACTACTATGAGTATAATGAATAAAAGAAATTTAGACAAATTTTTAAAAATTACCCTATACTCCTATATTTAGTTCAATAAAATTTAAATTGCCCTGAATTCATGTTTTTCTAAAGCAATTTAATCTGAGATTCTTCAGAACAAAAACTCTGAATTTTGCCGTAAGTTTATGCTCTGAGTCTTCAAAATCAAAGCACTGGAGAACATCATTTCAAGATTAAAAGGAATATTTTGTGCAATAACAGAGACTGAAAGTCTCTTCCATCTTTGAAGTCTCCCGGGTCTTTGCAGAGAACCACATTTAGCTGGTGCAACACAAATGATTAATTCAGATTGCAAGCTGGAGACACCACACCGACGGCATGTCAGGAGGGACACCCTGCACGACCTACCACACCTCCAGGTCTGCAACATCAGAACCACACTCACACACAGCACGCACCAGGCGTTACCTTTGTTAAATTGCTTAGCGCTAGATACTGAGAAGACAGCTGCGACACTCTGTGCATAAAGCTCTTGCTGGCAGCTTGTCCTTCCCACAGCTGCTGAGCTTTCTCTTTCAGCCTGTTGAGCTGAGGCTCGTAGCAGTGTATTTCCTCAAGGACAGACTGAAAAGCACAAGCAAGTTACTATTCAGAGGCTGGGGGAATGCACATCTCGGGCGAAGCTATGGCCTGGAGAACATGGAAATCAGCATTAGCAAGCAATCGGTGTACCCTGAAGGCTTTATCAATTCCAAGCTACACACAGTGAGCACGACAGGAAGGAAACAAAGCACACCCCAAAGGAAAAGCAGAAACATAAAATCGGTGCAAATAGGGAGAGGATACACTCCATGCGTCTGAAAGCTCGTTCTACAGAGGAGGGTATGAAGCTGAGTGACTCGGCACCGGGGGCCTCATCACCTGCAGCTTCTGCTGCTCTCTCCTCTTGGCCGGCAGATCGTAGAGGCGATTGCTGCTCTCATGGACCATCTTCTCGGTTTTACTCAGCCAGTCCTGTACAGGCTCAGCACTCACTTCAAAGTCCTTCATTTGGATCTTTAGATTCTACAAGGTTTTACAAAGTGTCAGGGAATTTAAAAAAAATTTCATAGCAAGTCCAAAGTCCTTCACTTGACTTCCAAAACCCACCCCAATATAGCCTCCTCCCCTTCTGGAACATTCCTTCCTCTACCTTGGCACTCGTATAATTTTTAAATATCCTTTAAGAACTTTTTATGGCTCTACTTTTTAAAATACAATATTTGCTTTCACAACTAGATTACAACCTCCATGAGGGGAGGGCCTGTGTCTTACACTTCCTGGGACACACCATGGTACCTTGTAGGAATATAAATAAATGTTAGTAAACATTCTGTTGATTTTGACTAATGATGGGACAAGAAGTCACATACATACATCATTTACATGCTTATTATGTTTTTAGAAAACAGTTTTTTTCTGATTTATAAAGAGATAAGAAATACCAAATAGTGTCATGTGCTTATCACATAAGAATGTTGTAAATACTTTCATAGATACTGTGTGGGTACCAGTAGCTGTAAAATGCACTTGATAAAGTTTTATATGGTACCATTTCGCATTAGCAAAGGTGTCTACATCCACTCTTTATTACTTAACAAGTCCTAGATTGATGTAAATTTGAATTTGTTATTTATGAACCAATTAAAGGCTTTAAAATTAACCAGAACTTTAGGTCATTTTGTCAAAGAGCAAGTCCATAAAAGTTAGCTGAAAAATCTCTGTAGCAAGGACCAATGTAATGTGTGGGAGAAAGGCTCAGGTTCCATCTGTATCTGGTCCAGGATGTCTACAATGTGGGGAGAATTATGTCTGCCATGCTCACCTCTGAGGGAGATGGGTTAGCTGTGGGAATGCCCTCGAAAGTTAACACTGCCTCACAAATGTCAGTTATCAAGGCAACTCCTGGAGTATTCTACTAAAATGTAAGCTTCACAAGGGAGGGATTTTTTTCCTGTTTTATTCTTTGCTGTATCCCCAGAATCTAGAAGAGTCCTTGGCAAATGGAAGATAGTCAACAAATATTTGTTGAATAGTTAAATAAATTCATAAATTCCAGGTGTTTCCATCTTCCTTGTTGCTGGAATCTCATGGGGCCATTGAGCAGGGAAAACTGGAGGACTGTGATCAGGAACTTAGTTTCTACAAAGAAAGGGCACTGAAAAACAGAGTATTAGGGGCTCGGTCAGAGGTCTAGTACAAAAAAAATTGGGTCTTTTTCCAAGGCTTGCAGTCACAGGATCTGAGCAAGGGGCCTAGGTAACAAAAATAAGGATGAGATTTGATATTAAGTTCTAACATTCCTCCTAAACTCCTAAAGTTATTTATATACTTTTAAAAATACTATACAGAGGTGTATTGGTTCCCATTAAATATTCATTCTGCATGTTTTCCCAACTATTTCTCCAATGGTTTCAATGACCACTAACAAATTCTCAAAGCCCCATATTTATAAAACTGTATTTATACCGCATTTTGAGATGATGGGTTTGAACTTGTTTCCACTACTTTCGAGCTATGAGATTATTTGACCACCCTGTGGTTAAGATAAGAGAGTTCCTGTTCCATGGAACGGTTGTGAGGATTAAATGCAGATTTGTTCGTGTTACGTGCCTACAACACTGGTGAGATCTCACTACCGCTGTTCCTGCGGCTCTACCCTCTCTCTTGAGCTTTGCACGCGTGCTAACTGCTACTTTCCTGGTCACTGGCCCCTGAAAATCTTGCAGGCACATCAAATGTAATGCATATTAAACTGAATAAATTTTTGCATCCCCTCCAACACTACTTTTGCTACTATATGCATGTCTCAATTAGTGGCATCACCATTCACACCACCTTCCAAAGTAGAAGCTGAGGATTCAAACTTAACTTCTTCCCCATGCCCCTCATCTAATTAGTTACCAAGTCCTCTTGTGTTTTACCTCAAAGACAAATTCTCTATCCTATTGTTATCACCTTAAGTCAGGCCTTAGTCTCTCGCATCTGGATCATTATGAAAAGCTTTCTCTAGTCTTCCAACTACTTCCTGTCCCCCATTCTGGTTTACACTGTGGTCAGAAAATTTACGTGTTTATCTCCAGCTTAAAGATCTGCAGATTCCTCACTCAGTCTTTCTCAAACAGGCCCTGGGAAAAAATTAAGTCCTAGTGTCCTAAAGCATCCATTCTACATAATGAATTAACTTCTGACCTATGCATCTAGCATAGCACGGATTATGTTTCATCCTTGGGAAAATTGTATCTGGGGTTCAGATTAAAAAACCCTGGTTGAGAGTCAAGGTCAAATTGCTTAGTACACAAGACATTATAGGATCTGGCCCTAATCTTCATCTCCAATATTATCTCTTTTGCTCTTCTTGCAAAATTTCGTGTTGGTGTCAAAGTTCTCAAAGTCCCCCATTCATAGTTGGCACTTATGACTCCCTGGCCCTGTGCCTTCAATTGCTTTTACCTGAAATGCATGTCAGCCTAGGTAAATTCAAAGACCACTTGATTCAGTCAAAATGTCACTTCTCTGGAAACCTTCCTTGATTTCTCCGAATAGAGTTAATGGCGTCCTTCTATGAGTGACTACCACCTTTTCAACATATCTATGTTATTATTGTAATCATCTCTTACATACTGTTTCCCCTTTAGAAAGTAAACTTCCCAAAGCAAGGCAAAAGGTGAACCCTCCTGTATTCTTTACATAGTGCCTGGCACATAAGAGGCACTATTATGTCTGATGTGGATTAAATGTCCCCTAAGACTCACTGAAGCTTAGCCCTCATTGTAACTGTTAAGAGGATGGGAAATCCTTTTATGGTAATTGAATGGTGGGGCTTGAAGAGGTGAATAGATTGTGAGGACTGTGCCCTTGTGAATGGATTGATCCATTCATGGAGTAATGGATGTGGCTCTGATGCCTTTAGAAGGAGAGCGAGTGAGAAGGTTAGTTCATTCTTGCTCAAGCCATTCACCATGGGACACCCTGAATCACTGTAGAGCCACCATCAAGAAGGCCTCATCAGAGGTGTTCCTTGGACTTTGGACTTCCCAGCCTCTAAAACTGTGAGCCATAAGTGTTGGGTTTTTGTAAATGACCCAGTTTCAAGTATTTTGTTATAAGTGACAGACATGGACTAATACAATGTATCTATTCCTAATGGGATGGAAGGAAGGGAGGGAGACATGGATCAAATAAGAGTTACACCTGTCATGAGGAGAAAGGCAGATTAGGAAAACAGGCAATTCCTGACCTACTACCTACTCTTGAGCTTGAACTAGGTAATCTTGCAATCAATGCTAGATATACTACACTCAACAGCTGATGCTTTGGAGCTCAGGCCACATTGCCTGTACGGTTAAGGGTAAATTTCTAGGCACCGCACAATGGTTATCACTCTATTAAATGAAGGATGCCTGCCATGACAGAACAGCAAGAGAGAATTCAGTGGTCTTATATAAAGACCACTGAGGTCTTATGAAAGAACTGGGGAAGCACACATTTTCCTCTTCCTGAATATTAATTCCCTATTATTTTTTTTTCTAACTGCCATTTATATGGTCACAATCAAATTAAACATCTATTCTTCCAGGAAGTGTTATTTTAAAAGGAAAAAATACTCACTCCCATGCTTCTAAATTTTCTTCTAAGAGAAGAGTTATACATAAAAAAGATGATCTCAGAAGAAAAAAATCATTGCATTGTGGCAGTAAGTATGTTATGGTTATAATAAATTCAGCTTATATTGTGTCTGGAGAAAATGAAATTGTGTAAACACCCTCTCCTTGCATACTTAACTCCTAAAAACTTATTACCTGATATTTGCATTAGTTATAATATACCCTCTTATCCATAGCATTTTATAGCCTTACATGGATATTTCTGTTCATTCTTCCAGAACAACTTCCAAAATTGAGGCATTTTAAATGAAATATTAAGTGCCATGCTTAAATATAAAATTGGTTGTTCCTATTGGGAAAATGAATGGCCAAGTCTGTGATCATAGACCCTACCATGCAAGAAGCTGTTTAATTCCTCAGGAAGGCTCACACTTCTAGCACGGAGCTATTTCTTACAGTTATCCAGTTGTCCATTTAAATTTAGGGAGGGATGACCAAAACCACTGACAAGGGGGCTTGGATATATTGAAACTGTGGTTTAACAAACAACAACAAACAAATGAACAACACAGAATATGCCCATGTGGTTGGCTATGTTATACCTCTAGGGCGGATTCCTTTTGGTGGAGATTTGAATGAAAATTTTTCCAATCTTCTTTTGCAGTTGCAACTTTGGCCTGGATACCGTTAGCTTTCTCTTTGGTCAACAGAGTACTCAAAAGCTCTCCTTTAGATAGCATCATGTTTAGCTTGTGCTGTCCATTTTCACTTTCTGACAAAAACTCCTACAAAGAAAAATATAAAATTAGGCATAATACAATGTTCCATGCTTTAAAATAATTTGATTTTTCTATGTATTTCCCAATGAAATCAAAGAAAAGAAATAAACTATTTTTATTATATATATTAAATGATCCAGCCCTTGCTTTAATTATTTATTTGCAAATTATTTTATTCACCAATTTATAAATTATTTTTATTTACCATTCTAAATTCTGCAATTTATTTTATTTGCAAATTATTTTATTTATTAATCTAAATTCTGACTTGCAAACTATTTTATTTACCAATTTGCAAATTATTTTATTCACCAATCTAAATTCTGACTTGTCCTAAAAAGGTTGCGAGGTATTGCATAAAATATTAACAATTGGTTAAAAATAAACAGGAGAGGAAATGAGGACCAAGGGAAAATAAGAGTTGTAAACTAAACTAATCTCTGGCTAAGATTAGTTTACAAAATAAATGCTATGTGGCTCTGTATAATTGGTGGAACTGGATTATGACTTAGGCTCTGAGGATCCTAGTTGCCTAAGCAAACGAGTAAACACAACCAGGTACACAACTCACAGGGCCCATACGATAAAAATAACCATCTGCTCAGCAGAAGCACAACTATTCCTAGAAAGAGATAAGAGATGAGTTTCCCTGGGGAGTCTTAATAAAGCAAATGCTGTTAAATGGATTAGATTACATTATTAGCAGCAGTTTATCAGAACATAACAAGAGTGTTTGATAGTGCTGTCCTTAAGAAGGACAAGTTAATGCCATAATGCCAAAGGGTAATTCAATAAAGTTCACCAAAGTACGTACTTTTCCCATCTGGCTAGATGCTGGGAAGAAATGGGGGGATTCTGTATCCTACAGTTAATTCCCATGAATATTTTCAAGTGTTATAGAAGAAATGGAAAGAAGAAGCTCAAGGTTATTTATTTTTGAAAAAAAAACATAAGTGTAGATATTCTATGTTGTGAGTTTTGATCAAAGGAACCTCACGAGGACATTTGTCTTAATGGACAGCCACCCCCACACATGTAGCTGTGCTGAGACAAGAGGGTCCAAGAAAAGGACCAAAGCTGTCCTCAAAAATAGTACTGGTTTCTGCAACAGAGACGAACAGGTAACTGAGGTTTTAAAGTTCTACTCCCTGGCCTGGAGCAAGCAGAAAAACTTTTAAATGAAACAAACATTCAAAGCAAGAGTTATCCCATTATATTAAGTTATGAACCAAGAATTCAAAACAGCGACGTAGATATGGACAACTGTTTCAGAGCCTGTGACTAACAGAGAAATTTCAAGCACGAACACTTATACATAATTTTCTATATACACATGCCCTCTGAAAAAAATTCAAATTTTATAACCACTCAGGACTGCTAGTATAAAAAATAATCAGACATGTACAACTATGAAAGGCAAATTCAATAACTATGCTTAAAAAATGTTGGTGTTGAAGGTGGTCTGTGGAATGGCACCATGAAGTTGCAATTAAGGGAAGAAAAGACTAGAAACAAACAAACAAACAAAAAATCTATCTGCAGCTCTGTCTATTTTACATACAAGTTCTGTGACTTCTGTAAGAGTCTTTTACTGTATGTGTACATTGGCAATAACAATCTTATA